AACGCACATACCAAAATGCATTATTTTATGAAAAAAAAACCAGCACGCCATGATGTACGAGCCATGTTACAGTAAAACGCACACACCATTCCACACCCACGCATACACCGCCGTAAAATTCCAAAGAAAATCACTAAGAGAGAGAGAGAGAAATATTGATTAAGGAGAGCTGAAATAACGCTACAAATTTTTATAAACATGGAAATAAATGAAATGGAAAGTAATAAATATAGTGTTTAAGGACAAAAAGACCCATGCTTAATCTAAAATCAGTATAACATGGGATTCAAGTGGTAATCAATCTGAATTGTCAAAAAATTAAAATCAACGATCAGTGAGTGTGCTCACGGGCTCTGCTGACTAGGGGGTGTGCATCGGATTCAAAAAAAAAAAAAAAAATATATATATATATATATATATATATATATATATATATATATATATATATATATATATATATATATATATATATATTGGTTCCTGTAAGAACAGGTCTTCTCGTGCGGTCAGTGCGGCATACACCATTAGGTATGCATAAATGCACTATATAGTGTTCAAGAATACACCAGAATGAAATGCAAAAAATTGCACCACACAAAAAAATAAAATACACCACGTACACATAATGGCGTATTTTCGAACATTGTGGTGCATTTATGCATACCTAATGGTGTATGTCGCACTGACCGCACGGGAAGACCTATTCTCACAGGAACCTGACCCTATATATATATATATATATATATATATATATATATATATATATATATGTTGTACTACAAAGTGTTTTAATACAAGTAATGAAGCAGAAATAAAATTTGATCCCTAATCATACTATTATCAAGTGTTTTATCAAGTGTTTGATTCTAATTCCCATGTGCGAACCAAACACATCCTTAACAAATTTTCACTCTAGCTAGCTTTTGGTTTGCTTATATGGTAGTATAATAGTATTTTAGAGAATTATAGTTTTCGTTCTTGTATTAAATTATTACTTGTGTAAGTTGTGTTTGGTCTTCAAGTGTTTATTGGACCTTTTTTCTCACAACGTATTTATGCCATTGAAATAAAAGGTAGCTTACTTTTTGTTATTATGATTATTATAGAGGTTGACAGTGAATGACGAAGAGTAAGAGATTTCTGGAGTTGGAATAATAATTTTGGGGATGTATGTTAAAGTGTTAGGGTGAAGTTGTAGTATTTAATTATTAGCTAGTGTAATGTGTTTAAATGTCTAGCTTTCTGAAATTTGTTTTAAAGATAGTTGAGAATGTTAAAATTTTCATTGTTTTGAAAGGAAGAACACAAATGCATTAATAATGAATCAAATGGGAAATATAGATTGGTGGCAGTGTGGCACAAACAACCACGACCTTAGGACAGACAAAGAACTAACTGTTCGTGCTAGCACATGAGTCACATGATTCAATTTGCTGACCTCCTAACATGATGAACAGACACGTTCCCGATGTCATAACTCGACATTGCTTGACTAATAAACCAACATAAGAAAGATGTAAAGAGTTCGAACAAAAATTAAGACAATCTGATTCAATAACTACAACATCAATGTAATTTTGAGAATAACCTAGCAGTGTCGCCACATCCTTGTCTCTCCAAAACAATGCAAGACCACCGCCTAAACCAGCACTACAAGAAAAATGCACATAGACAACATTAGAAAAACAACAGTTTTTAACAAAAGTGTTGTCTTTTGTATAAAAGACAACATTTTGGTCCAAAACCGTTGTCTTTGACGCAACAGTTTTGTCAAAGACAACAGTTTTTACTTAACCGTTGTTATAAGTGTGTTGTCTTTGTGCATTTTGAGAAAAGACAACACTACAACGACAACGGTTCTTTAAAATCGTTGTCTATGTGCGTTTTTTTTTTTTTTTCTTTAAGACAACAGTTTTATTTAACCGTTATCTTTGATATGTTGTCTTTAAGTGTACTTGAATAAACAACACTACAAAGACAACGATTTTGTAAAACCGTTGTCTTTGCGCATTATTATTTTTAAAAAAGACAACGGTTTTATTTAACTGTTGTCATTTGTGTGTTGTCTTTAATAGCACTTGAATACACAACACTACAAAGACAACAGTTTTATAAAACCGTTAGTTGTCGTTGCACGTTCTTTATTTTTTTATGACAACGGTTTTATTTAACCGTTGTCTTTGGTATGTTGTCTTTAAGTGTACTTGAATACACAACACTACAAAGACAACGATTTTGTCTTTGCGCATTATTTTTTTTTTAAAAGACAACAGTTTTATTTAACCGTTGTCATTTGTGTGTTGTCTTTAATAGCACTTGAATACACAACACTACAAACACAACAGTTTTATAAAACCGTTGTCGTTGCACGTTCTTTATTTTTTTAATTAAGACAACGATTTTATTTAACCGTTGTCTTTATGTGTATTTGAATACACAACACTACAAAGCAAGAAGAATAATAACCTTAACATACTAAACTCGAATTAATGACTCGAATCAGATACCATCAATTTGCAATTGCTAACATCAAGACCAGAAACCAGCAAGCTTAATAATGACAAAAGAAAATGACTAGAAAATCATTTTCCTTCACAATTTATAAACTCCTGCCTAAAAACCAAAGATTAAAGAAACACTTGTGAATCAACTTCACCTAAATAGCAGAATAGGATGTCCTACCAAAATTCCATACTTGTGACAAGTTTCAAATCACAGGATTTATGATAACAAAGCTATATATAGTCATCATGCACAAACAAACCAAATTAGATAGAGAATCACAAGTCTAAAATAATTTGCACATATATATATATAATAACCAGTGTTGCAAAAATTCCGCCTAGGCGCCCGTCCACCGATTAGCTATTGTTCTCTTTTTCTTTTTTCTTTTTTCTTTTTTAATGGATTATTTCACTCAATTGTTAAAACTCTAGATTTTTTTAGATTAAAATTTAATATTTTAGTATTAACTATTAAAGTATTAAATAGTTTATAATTATCAAGTCTTAAAATATTAAAAAAATTTAAACAAATTTTTAAAAAATTAAAAATACACAGATGCCTAGGCGCCGATTAATCGCCACCTAGACACTAAGCGCCTAGCGATTTTTTCAACAATGTATATAATATACAAGCAGATACAATTCAAAACCAAGAGAAGCACTTTTTGGGGAGGAAATCACACTTATAGTCCTTTAATTATTGTCTGTTATTAAATTTCGTCCACAATTGTCAATTTTTAAAAAATTTAATCCTTCAATTGTTTAGCACCAAAGCCACTGAGTTGGCAACCTTTAAAACAATTGAAGGACTAAATTTATTAAAATTGACATTCGGGCTCTAAACTTCATAACTGGCAATAGTTGAAGGACAAAGTGCAATTTCTCCACTTTTTTCATATCATAAAATAGAACTACCTGTTTAAAAAATGTATCTTACAATAATTAAGGGTGCTTTGAGACATAAACAGAATGGAGAGGCATTAACTTGTTTGGTGCCCATATAATCTTATAAATCTAAGGTTTTTAATGAGGCAGCTAATCTAAAATAAGAATACAAATACATCATGTACTCTTTTCTTCAACTAATTTTTCCCACTGAGTTTTTCTAATGAGGTTTTTAACGAGGCATGAGTATGATATAGTAATAACAATGAGAAAAGTTACAAAATAATTGCTTAAATGGACAAACTCCAAAATCCTGAAGATTATGCAAATTGCGCCCTGAAGGCTTATGGTCGTACTTTTTTTCCCTTAACTAAGTTTTCCCCACAGGGTTTTCTTAAGTTAAGGTTTTTAATGAGGCGACTAATACAATATATGTTTTTAGATATATTATGTACTCTTTTCTTCAACTAAGTTTTTCCCACGTGGTTTTCCTAGTGAAGTTTTTAATGAGGCATGAATATATTTTCTATTGTACTCTTTTCTTGTCTAGGTTTTTCCCACAGGGTTTTCCTAGCAAGTTTTTGACGAGTCAAGATAGTGGTCAAATAATGTCCAAGGGAGAGTGTTATAAATATTATACTTATTATGGACATTATTATATAGTAATAATAGTATTATAACGGTTGTAACAATTATGTAATTATCTCTCATTATTGCTTCCGTTAATTACCTTGTATGTATATATACTCCATACATGTTGTATAGAGTAATGAATGATGAATAAGAAGATCTCTCTCCATTCTCTGTATTTTCCTTTTCCCTGCTGTTTGACTTCACAACACTAATTAACTTAAATTGATAAGATATAAAATAATTTTGAGAACATGTGAGTTCGAAAGCTATTGAAATATTACAACTTTGCAAATATTATTATTATAAAAATTATAATAAAATACAAATATTAAATTTTAAAACTAATAAAATAATGACATTACAAATGTATTCTTAAGATTAACGGGCTTAACGCAAACTAATGAAGGGATGAAAACCAATACTACTACACAAGCGTGAGATTGTAATTCAATAATTTTAAAATTGAAAACCAATTTTTTAAAAAATTGCAATTATGATGTATTTGAAATCATGAAAATGTTTTCTGAAAAATAAGTCAATTTTTTAATTTTTTTTTTTATAGTTTAGTTATGCATTCAAAAAATTGTCTTGATGTGTTTGATTCATTTTCTAAAAAAATGAATAAAATTATATAATTAAAGATTTTAATTATTTTATTTAGAATATAAAAATATTTATAATATTATTAAAAATAATATTATTTATTAAAAATTGAGGAAAAAAAAAAACTCTGATTTCAAATGAAAACCAGAGCACCAATCCTATGATTTCTACTGGATACGATTATTATCAACCTATGAAAAATAATTTGTCAAATTTTGACAAAAGTCATTTTCATCCAAAATAACCTTATTTTCTTAAGTCAATGGATAACTTAATTTTCCAGACACATCCAAAACACTGAAAATCTGAAAAATAATTTCCTCCGGATTACCAAACGTACCTTATAGTTGGAAGAATAAAATATTACTCAGTAAATTTTTCTCTCAATTTAAATATTTTGCATATTAATTATTTTTAAAAAAAATATCTACCTTCGCACAATCACAGACAAATCAAATTAGTCGAGTGTATGTCCAAATTTGTGCTTGAATTTGACCCCCCCCCCCCCCCCCCCCCCCCCAAAAAAAAAAAATCAATACACAAAAAATTTGGATTTAAACTAGGAATAAAAGCATACTGCATACCTATATATAATATATCAGCATAATGGTATGTATAAATCTGATTCAACTACACTAAGAAGGCTTCCTTGGGGGCTTTGATTCATCCCTAACACGTTTGGAGATGTCGCGCTGAAGGACCTCCATAAATTCCTACGAAGCAACAATAATGTTAGCATTCAATTCAAAACCTCGGGTTGTTGCGAAGGATACTAGACACGAAGATACTCACATTTGCAAGGCCTTCAGTACTGCACAAGCCATTCACAAGGTTCTCATCGCTACCTCCATTGCGATGCAAGTGAGCAGCATTTTGAACTATGGAGCGGAAGATATCTTCGGGAGGACTGTGGCGTTCGATTCTTTGGGCCACCTCTTGTAGTCCAATCTGTACACATGAAAAAAGTACCACACCAGCTTCAAAGAGGAAGGTTTGAATATAATGCAGGTTTAGCGTGGAATCTAGGAGCTCTTTTCGTTTAAGGTGATCACTGTTTTACTGACAAAAACTGTAAAATAAACCTAAACAACCATCATATTATGAATGATTATGACAAAGATAAATTGGTACCAATACGAACCTGAGTATTTTGATTGGTTGGCATCACTTCTCTACTCGTACCAGTCTCATTTATTCTGACTTCCGTTCTAGGAGCTTGTTGGGCCGAGGTTGGAACACCACCAAGAGCTTGAGAAACAAGTGGCATCATTTGCTGAAACATACTGGAAAGATCGATGGCACCGCCACCGCCACCGCCACTGCCACCGCCACCATGGCCTGCACCACCAAAACCGGCAAACATGCTTCCAAGATCTTGAGGATCAATCTGTTGAGCAATTTGGTTGACGGTATTCATCATCGCTGGGTTCTGGGTAAATTGCTGCAACATATCCCTCAAGGCATCGGAGGAACCAAGACCACTTTGTTGAGAGATTCCACCCAATAAACCATTTAAAGCTGGATTTTGAAGAACTTGTGACATCATATTTGAAATATCAGGTTGGCCATTTCCTCCAGAGCCCAAATGAGAAAATTGTCCTAAAGGTGGGGAACCCTCGGTCCTCCTAGCCGAAAGTGCTGCAAGAGATTGCAAAGCCTGTTGTTCACTCTGACTGGAGGTAGCTGCACCATCATCACTTCTTCCCTGTGGTTTAGATTGCTTAACTCGCCTCTGATTCCACCAGTGCACAAAAAAAAAAGAAGTAAATACCATGGAAGCACAATAAAAAAAAGGTAGCTAACTAAACCATAGACCAACTTCAGATGGCATAAAATAGCACACCAAGACAGCAGATTTAAAGCAACAATTTGATAACACCAAATAGAAGGTAAAGTTAGTCAGCCACATAAAAAAGAAGTGTATATAGTTGCAAGTACAGGAATGCATAATGAGACATTCTGTGGATCACAATCATAATTGTAAGCCTAATTGAGCACCGCTAATTCCACGCCATAAAATTGAAACATTTTTAAGGAGGTAAGTTATCCCCCATCCCTCCATCTACTAATCTACTAACATAATAATAACGGAATATGCTGAAGGGAGCGGAAGATTTCACTCTCTAAGTTATACTCCCTGAGGTGGCACAATTTGAGCCAAACACTTTGAAGTCATAATGTTCATGGGTCTCACTTCCTTTGATTTTTCTCGTTTTCTTGTGAATACAACTAAGGGAGAATATGTTTGGGAGTAAAAAATGGAAGTCCTTGTAGAAGGACTCTATAATAACCATATATTATTATTTGAGATTTTAGTTTTATTTATTAAAAAAAAGGTTCAAGTTTCTCAAATCTAACCTCTTAAGTGGTTTACACATGCTCAACATATTTTAACTGCATCTATTTAACTTCCACTGCGTCCCTATACCCAGCTATACTAGACAAAATAAATGGGGTAGTAGTACACTTGCTAACCTTAGGCTGCAAATCCCCCATCCCTAGTCCAATAGGAACAGAAGACGAAGGACCAGGGCGATCCACTACCTGAGAACCTCCTGCTGAACTTACAGAAGTTTCATTGGACACCTGATCACATTCTCCCCGTATCTGGAAAAGGTTAGATAATCACTCCTAACATATTAAGCGATGATCAATAAATTGCTACTCATCATAACAGACCTGGCTTTCTCCAAACTTCCTAGCTTCAGTTTCAGCACCAGAACTGGTAGATTGCTCATGAACAGTGGTACTCTCAGGTTGACCTTGATTATATTAAAACAATTCAGTTCAGAAGGCATGATGATCCATTATTCCAACATAAATATGCTTGTGAGCAAAATCCATAGTCCACTCAGAGAATAATAGAATTGAAGACAAGCATGGAAATTGTACTAAGTTGTGACGCACCAGAAAAAGAAACACGAGGTCTTGATGAAACAGCTACTCCAGTAGTACCTATTACAGGCGGAGCCCTAGATTGACTAGAATCACCACCATCAGTTCCACTGGCATGGTCACCTTGAGCTACATCTCCATTAGTTGCTCTAGAACCAACTGCAAAAAAGAATCCCAAAAAGTTGAATCAGAAAGATGAGTAGTATATTGCCCTGCCCTCCCTTTGAAACAACGGCCCCACTCTTCCCAAAGAAACCCAAAAAATACAAGGTGAATGCTCAAAACTTCATAGTTCATACCGGTATGTATGTGTATATTTACATTCCTTGCCGCACTGCCAATTCCAAAGGGACTGAAGCCTCCAGGATTAGATTGAACAGATGGGCCGGCAAACAGAGAGTAAGTTTGAAGAGGAAAAGGCTGCAACAAAAGATAGTAACAGCTTATGAAACCAAGGGATCAATCCAAAATACCAAACAGCATAATACAAACACAATTACTAGATATTGCATGCTCTCACAACACCTGAACCATTATTGGGTTTGGCCCTGATGGAGAAATGTAAACTGCAGGACCAGCATTGACTGAAGATTCAGCCTGTATAAAACACCAAAGGAGTTTTAAACCATGCCCTTGTAGACAAACACAATAGAAAAGTGATGGTAAGGAGCATACAGGAGACTCTCCCATACGCAATGTCAACATTGTCCTTCCAAGCTCTAGGAACTGAGCACCCAAGTGCTGCATCACAAGACCTAATTGCACTGATTCTGCCTGTATTTGCCCCCTAACTGTAGGGTCAGTTGAATTCCCTTCTTGCTCCAAGCGTCCTGCAACACGCTACAATATTGCAGCAGATTACAAACACCAAATCAGAAGACAAGCCAAATGAGGGGGAAAAATCCCAAGAAAATCAATTCATTAACAATAATCTGTCAATGCCTCGTACTAGTATTAAAACCATTGATTCATAAAAATTTCCAATAAATGATGTCCATTGTACAGTGAAGCACAATGAGGAATAAAATCCAAGATCAATGAAGTTCAATACTTCAGTCAATTACACAAAGAGGGGGGGGGGGGGGGGGGGTCGGGTGGGGTGGGGGGGGTCGAAAAACAAGAATCTCGAACATGAGCCACAAATGTGATCATATGAGAAAAATGATATGCTAGCAATATAAAAATAGGAGCCATTGAGAAAGTTCAGCACATGAATTATACAAGTTCTATTAAGGGGGCATATCCAATCAAAACCAGAAACTACATTCATATACAATATATAATCCTCAACAAAAACAAACAAACTCGGTAGAAATTACCCCTCTTCCAAAAGATAAAGCAATAATAACAAATTTATGCCTTATTAATCCCTAGAATAAGCTAATGTAGTGTATGTTATGCTTGCAGTTCTACCTTGATGAACTCTTGGAACAAAAGGGAAGAGCACAACATAGAGGAGAAACTGTTAAATTTCACACAATCACAATATAGATTCAAAGTTACATACAGATAATGCAGATGTAACATGGTTGCCAACTAGTCGCTCTGTATGCCGCACAACAGTGCTCAATGTCTCTACATTTGATTGACCACGAGAATTTGTAGGCAAATCTACACTAGATGAATCAGCAGGTGATTGGTTTGGCTGATTACCTGGAGCATAGAGAGAAGGAGAAATCAATCAGGAAGCTATTTAGTAACATATCAGAGCCAGAACAATTAGGTGAAAAGATCATCACCATTACGGGATAGTACAGACTCCATGCGATTCATAAACACTGTCAGTGTGTGCAAAGAATCCGGAATCGGCTAAAACAAACAAAAAAGAAAAATATAAAAAGGGTAGCTAATATAAAAAACAATAGAGCATAAAAAGTTATAATTTATGTCAACAATAGTTGAAATGTTTCTACCATATTAAGCGAAGGAACTGCTATTGCTGCTCCAAGTGGGATTTGCATGCCTTCAGCTAAAGATAGACGAGGAAATGCCTGCCCAGGCTGCTGATTTTGAGAGCCAGAATTCCTTTGTACACCTTCTGTTTCATTTCCTCTTGGGGCAGCAGTGGGAGCATTAACCTGTTCAGAAAACAGATTAGCTGCATAAAATCCCTAGTCCCAAAAGATGACCAATATTTTATAGGAACATACCGCATCTTGAACAAGGCTAGTAATTTTCAAACTATACCCATTATACATCCATAAAGTGAAGAATATCATGTTCATAGCCACATGCCTTTTGACCAATTAAGATAACTTCTATAACAAATTACATTTCTGTGGCTGTAAAAGGGAAAAAAATGTGCTGCAACTAAACAACCATATAAAGTAGCAGTGTGCTAACCCATAATAAGGTACTTCAATTTGATCTAGTCATACTATAAAGGTCTACACTTGTATGTTATTTAAAGCGTGCATTAACTAAAGAAAAAGATATACTTGAATTCAATATTACTAGGACAATGGGTATATATTACTGAAACTAAGGTAAGATATAGCTAGAAAACCACTAACATGCGGACCAGGATGGTTGGCACCAGCCTGACTCCCAACTCCAATAGAGTTTAAAACTGCCCCAATAACCTAGAAGGCAATAGAAAATTTGTCAGTCAATAATCCATGTTAGCTAGCCTAAACAAGCAAAACAAAGGCTGGAGAACACTAAAAACAAACCCGATTTAAATCTGGTACAAGTCCATCCCCTTGCTCACCAACATTGATAGTGCCTAGCACCACACTGTGTGAAACTTGCCCAATACGATTGCGTGGCGCACCAGTAGTAGGCTCTTGACCTACAAAGTTCAAAAAATGACTTCATAAAACCACTTAAAGCATTCCACATATAAGTGACAGGGTGACCAAAAGAAAAGCTGGTAGTTATGACAATTTATTACCTCTAAGACCATTGTCTGGAGTAGTTTCCCCAGTGCCAACAGAAGATGACAATTGTGATTGAGAAGGCTGTCTTATCACCAAGTGCAATGTATCTCCATTTTCCAAATCTATAAGAATCAAGTTGTCAAGAAACCACAAAGACAACCAGTTGACGGTAAATTGTTAGATCCAAAAGAACAAACTCTCAACCAATTAGAGCCATATCCTAGAGAAACTCCTTCATAGGAGGGAGGGGAGGAGCAAAGAGGAATACATATATGTATGTCTGTGTGTATGCACACATGTATACATATGTGAGTACATAAGTCTGCCCGCGCGCACTTATGTATATACATATAATAGACATGTATAGATACAATGCATATCACAGTGTGCGGTTTAGCCTTCAGTTTCAATCTAAATATGGTCAACCAAGTCATTCCATTTTTTAAGAAAGATTACACTCAGGATTAGGCCAATAAATAAAATCATGTTTCTAAATAGTAAGCCTCTATTATGAAAACATCAACAGAAAAATTCATCTTAGATTGACACACGATAAAGGAACAGAACAAAAATCTAGATGTCATAAAATTATACACATGGCAGTGATTTTTAACTACATCAAAGAAATTCATTTAATTAGGATTTCTTAGTATATAATTGGTAGGATACGATATTCAGAAAGAATGTGATCATCCATCAGGGCCTTCCCCCTGAAAATAAGGCGCTGTTGTGCAACAGGGACACCAGTTTCAGTTGCTACTTTTTCCTTTAAGGCAGAAACTTGCATCTGAAACCATGAAACCAGAAGCACAGAATTGTAAAATAGAGGTAGCCTAGTGTCCAAATTCATTAAGTATTCAAAGAATAATACAATAGTTAAATTTGAAACATAAATGACACACGAAAGAAACTAATAACAGTTTGAATAGAGTATATTATTTTGAGATTACCTATGTGACCACAAAATGCGTGTTTTTCAAACATAGGAATAGTAAAGTAAGCTTACGTTCTTGTCCACGTCAAAGGCATAAGTTCTGGAATCTAAGGTCTTGATATTGATATTCACAGTCGATGGACTCGATTCAGAACCTCCAATCACAGTCGATGGACTCGATTCAGAACCTCCAATCACAGTCGATGGACTCGATTCAGAACCTCCAATCACAGTCGATGGACTCGATTCAGAACCTCCAATCACACCCGATGGACTCGACTCAGAACCTCCAATCACACCCGATGGACTCGATTCAGAACCTCCAATCACACCCGATGGACTCAATTCAGAACCTCCAATCACAGTCGATGGACTCGATTCAGAACCTCTAACCACAGCCGATAGACTCGATTCAGAACCTCCAATCACAGTCGATGGACTCGATTCAGAACCTCTAACCACAGCCGATAGACTCGATTCAGAACCTCCAATCACAGTCGATGGACTCGATTCAGAACCTCCAATCACAGTCGATGGACTCGATTCAGAACCTCCAATCACAGTCAATGGATTCGATTCAGAACCTCCAATCACAGTCGATGGATTCGATTCAGAACCTCCAATCACAGCCAATGGACTCGATTCAGAACCTCCAATCACAGCCGATGGACTCGATTCAGAACCTCCAATCACAGCCGATGGACTCGATTCAGAACCTCCAATCACAGTCGATGGACTCGATTCAGAACCTCCAATCACAGTCGATGGACACGATCCAGAACCTCCAATCACAGTCGATGGACATGATTCAGAACCTCCAATCACAGTCGATGGACACGATTCAGAACCTCCAATCACAGTCGATGGACACGATTCAGAACCTCCAATCACAGTCGATGGACTCGATTCAGTACCTCCATCGGAAACATTACCTACATTACTTGTGCTTGGACCTTCAGATGTATGCTGATCAGCCATAGCAACTTGCCAACTAATGCCTGGAAAACAACCACTCTTAAAACATGTCTAAATTTTAATCACATTGCTATCACAGAGGTGTCAGCCAAGGATTTCATCTTTCTTTGTTTGGAAAATTGAAGGCGAGAGAGGTGTTCATTGTTGGTACTTTTTTAAAAAAAAAATTATTTGTTATTACAAAAATTCAAACCAAAAAACTAGTTCTAAAGGATTGTGCAAATGCATGTTCGAGGAAGTAATTTTAGTTCAGAACACTAATATTGCTCCAGCAAACCATCAGAACCACCCAGATGCCAGTTGAACTCCAAGATACTCCACGCTTGTAATTAAACAACAATATGGCATAGCAATTGAACACACTTTACACACCATTAAAGCATTGATTTCATGAAAAGCTGATGCATAAGCCAGCCTATTGGCAGCATAAATTCGAGCTCAAGATGCACCTAGTGTTCTCTTATCAACTCCACTAGACCTAAGAATTCCTATAGTTCATCACTGAAATGAGGAAAATAACATTTTCCTTTAAAAATCAAAACAATTTTAACCAAAAAAAGAAAAAAAAAATCACCGCAACAGAAATTTAGATTAGCTCCTGCAGAGCAACAGCAAAGCAAAGGATGTTCAAGTGTTCAACACACAGCACAGAAAGAGAAAAGAATCTCGGAATCCGAAGTATTAACATGATGAGTTTATTGAATCGGTAAAATCGGAGTTACCTATGAGGGAAGCAACAAAGATCGGCGGCGACGGCGACGGCGACAAGCAGAATCAGTCGTAAAAAACTCCTGGGTTGGGATTTGGATGAATGAAAGATATGGAATGAATGTCAAGACATTCGTGATTCGTCAGCTCTAAAGGATCCAGGCAAGCAGCGTTGTTGTGTCGGACTCGGGTTTGCGGAAACGGCCCAAAACAACCTCACACGGTTATAATTTGTGCATATATAAAAAAAAAAAAAAAAAAAAAATGTGTTTCCAGATTTTTCTAAAAAAGAATTTTATCAATTTACAAATTTCAGAAAAAATTTAACCTTCAATAATAATGTTCAAATAAATCATCCAATTACAAGAAAGAAAATTTTAGAAATTATAATGGCGACCATTCCATTCAAAATTACGGAGTATTATTTTTAATTTATTATAATAATTTGAAATAAAATTTAATTTAAAAACAAAACAAAAAACTCACCCTTCTTCCATATTTGTCTCCGGTCAGAGACGATCATTTTTTCATCGCCGGCTAGAGATAAAGATGGTGATGAATTTTGTAATTTTATTTTATTTAAATTAATAATTTGTAATATGATGATTGCCACATTAACATTAACTTAGAGTGCTGATTAATTTTGATTTAATTACATAATTTTAAATTGTTAAGAATTCAATTATAGACCCATCCCTCATAGATAAATTTAGCAATATGTAATTATAAACCTATCTCATGCAATGTTGCAAAAAACGTTAGGCGCCAAGGGGGCGCTTAGCGCCTAAACGCCGATTTTTTATTTTATTTTTTATTTTTTATTTATTTTTTGTTTTTTAATTAAAAATAAAATTAAAAATTTAGTAATAAAACATAAGGTTTCCATAGTTATTTCATAGAAACTATATACAAAAGTGGTTGTAAAATTATTCAAAAGATTGTTTAAAACATCTAAATATATAAAAAAACTAAAATTAAGAGCAAAAGAAGCATTTTTTTGAGAAATTAGTGGACCAAACCGCCTTCAGTAGTTTGCGGTGGATAGATCTCGAAAAAATACGCGATTTGAAAAAAAAAATTGTCCAAATCGGACAACCGAGTCAAAAGTTATGCCTTCCGAAACTTTTCCCACATTTTCAAAAAAAAAAAAAATCGCCTCACCGGCCAGTTAGGCGGTCTAGGCGGCCGGTCGCGGAGGAGGCCGCCGAGGCCATTCCTCGCTGCGACCTCCCACCGCCTAGCGCCTAGGCGCCGATTAAACACTGATCTCATGTCTATCTTTCGTAATCTTTTCAATCACTATTAAAAAATCACTCTAAAAAATAATATTTGTGAAATCTCTATTTTGACCACAGCCCACAACTTATTGACTAAACTCAAAGCAACCTCAAGGGTGTGTTTGGAAACCAGAAATCATTTTATGGGTTTCCAATGCCTAGCAAGAGGGAGGAAAATGAGGTCAATGAAAAATGATGTCTTAATCAAAGAAAAATAATTATAGATTTTCAATCCGCTTGCCTCACGCCTCAGCCCTCGCCTCTTCCTCCTCTACTGCTCTCACAGTCTATAGATAGATACTGAATGTATAGTATATAGTGTGTGTGTGTGTGTATATATATATATATATATATATATACACATCAAAATTATCTATTAGGCTTAATGAGTGTTATTTACAGAAAAATTTTATCAAAAGTATTAAACAATTAAAATGTTGGAGTATACAATTCTTTACATTTTCAGAAAAATGAACCAAACACACAAAAGATAATTTTCTATTGTGCATCCAAACACCAAAAGGAAAATATTTTTTTAAAAATGAAGAAGTCATATTTCTGAAGCCTAAATTGAAAACCACCTATCCATTCGCCTTGACAATTCTGCATCACTCCGCCCTCGGGATGCTCTTGAGTCATTTTTCTTCTTCATTAGACCAAGAGTATAACTCCAAAACCAGTCATTGTTTCTTTTTTTCTTCTTTTTATCAAAATAATAAAAACCTTATTTGATGGTCAACAGCCGGCATCCTCATTTACACAAGTACCATGGAATAAGAAGAGGTTTCACGAATCCAGGGATTAAGAAAAAATAAATAAAAATTACATAAGTTATCAAGAGAGAGTAACAATGTCAATGACATCTAGCTACTGATATATACACACTATAATTGGAAGAATGAAAAATGAAGACCCGATAATGGCAATGGCAATGGCAATGGCAATGACAATGATGACTCACCACTTCTGCAATCCCTGGATCCCTTCCACAGTAGAGTTGAGGACAAGCAGCGCTGCCAGTACTATGGGACCTTAGTCACCAATTGCAATTTCATGTGTTCTTATCATTGCAACAGTAATTATCTTTAGAATCGTGATTGCCACATTTTAGTAACTTTCTACGTTTATAGGTTACAATCTCCCTTGAGGGCTTGTGTTCAGTATTACTTACTGGCTCCACTGAGGACTTGCTTGCAAATTGTGGACTTGGATCAATTGCACTGGCTATCAATACTTCTCCAGGAACAGAAGATTTCTGATGGACATTATTTTGGATTTCTACGGTGGCCTCGTTTGTGGAGTGTGATTCATTTGCCTTCTCAATTGTTGAATCTGAATTTCCATTTCTTTCAGCTCCATCCACCACCTCGGGTTCGACTGATTCACCTACTGGTTCAGATGCGTTAATAGGCATGGGATCAACATTCATGTCATCCATGGATATGAAGCTGTTGTTCTTGCCTGCACTTTGATTTTCTGGGCCTTCTCTTACACCCTCTTCAATAAAATTAGAGGATTCACCCACATTAACAAGACAAGAATCTACAGGCTCAGATGTTTCTGAAGAATCCTTATCAGTCTTGCCTCCAACACTTACTATGCAAGGTCCTACCCATGTGTCTTTCCTGTTGCCACACACACCATTCTGCTGGCTCCCTGAGTTTTGATTTAGAGACTCGGCAGTTGACAACACAATATGAAGAGATTGTGACTCTGCATCCATCTTTGCTGTAGAATCATTTTTGTTCAAGACATTATCAAAATCATTTAGATTGGAGAATGACATATCAGTACAAGGGAGATTTTCTGTTATATCTGGCCCAGTATCAATCAAAACCCTCCCATTTTCTGCAAGCATATCAGTTGATGTAACCTCATCAATAGAAAACAACTGAGGCTCTGATCGGCACATGGAATATGGGCTGGCCCCTATTTCAAGACAAGGAATCTCAACAGCAATATTATGACTGCTGTTGGTACAAATGCCATTTCTAGCAACTATGTGATCAACAGAATGACACAACTGATTTTTGGTAAAACCTGAATGGTGAAGCTTATTAGAGCCACTCCCATTACAGGATGACGTACTATTACCTTTGCTTCCATTTACTGTATCTCCACATTGGCCGCCATATGTAGTAGTTGGTCCTACAACTTGAACACTTTCTTGACCAATTTGTGAATTCAACTGCTTCTGCACCCATACAGCTACAGAAAGTGCGTGATCACGAATCAAAGAGTCATAAGGTGGGCAGTGCAGCATTTTAATCAAAGCCTGCCTATACTGAAACATACTAACGGATGATGTAGCAGACCCTCTGTCACGAAGATATTTAATACTTTTAAAAACATGCTCACATAAGTTGCCCATATTCGCAGAATTACAATCACAAAGTGCAAATTCTGAACTTGGGTTCCATATAACATGGACCATATTTTTATCTCCCTGATCAACAACTTTTGCGGATTCACCATCAATAGTAACATCACCATCTGGAATCTGCAACGATTTTCGCCAAGCTGTCAACCCACTAATCCATTCATCTTTCCAATATCGAGCAAAATCATCCTTCCCAGAATACTCATCAAGCCAGAAATAAGAATGCACTGTAGTACCTAGCTTGTCTACAAGCCAATCGGCACGTTCATATACACTCAAGTCCCTCTCATTCAACAGTCTGAGCTTCAATTGGTTATGGTAAAACTCCAACGCTGCACAAGTCTCCTGGCTGGCAAGTGGAAGGGCTCTCAGTGCATTACTCCAAAGCCCTGGCCAATGAAGATTTGTCAGAAGTAATTTTAAAAAAAGAATTAACTGATTTAATGAGAATATGAGGTTCAATGATTTTTTATGAGTCACACAAGTTCAGTTTTCTCATGCACAATCAGAGTTGAGGTTACCATGCTTACTCCACAGGAGAAGAATGTAGACGAGAATGTACATCCATGGAATAATACGGAAAATTTTCTCATAGTAATTAGTAAGTCACCATATGAATCCCTCAAAACATCTTTTAAAAAAAAAAAGGAAAATATTTTTTCAAGATTTTCTTTCATCACAAGGCATATAAACAACCAGAGAATCTTCAAAACAGATAATATGATAAATGCAAATAATTGATATAGACTAAACTGTAGTCTAGACTCTAGAGTAATATGCATAACCTAGTCTTGGATACCAAGTTGCCTTGAAGTAGTCCACAAACTCAACAGCATCCACGAAATCTTCCATGAAAGCTTCAAACGTATTTGCAGGTTCACACCCTTTGCAAATGCTATGTATCATCTCACCAAGCCTTTTGGCTATTGTGACACGCACCTCCATTTCTGAGCATCTCTTCATCAAATTTTTGTGCCATGCATGACGTACCCGCCAAAAGCTTATTAGCACAGAGCACTGGAACACTTCCCTGAGTGAGATTACCAAATAAAAGATAACATATTAAGCATACAAAATAACTAAAATCCAATGACAAGACACATCAATATGGTAAAGTCAAACAATGGATTTGATAGTTTGACTTTAATGGTAAAATTTTAAGACAGGTAGCATCATGAAGACAAGTTATCACCCACAAGGGCTAGGGGCTAGCAAGACAAGATAATTTGATACTTTGTCATGCTTATAAATGTAGATCAGCCTGTTTTTCCCAAGTTCATGCAGCCCAAATCCATTTAACATTTCTTATTTGTTGCTACTATTGGTGCAAACAAGATTCAACAGATTAGGTCTCATGTGTGCCTTTCATAATATCATCTGCATCTATTCAAGAAAACTAGTAAGAAGGGATGTGATGCAAACTCTAATTTTGTGCGCTGCAATACAGATTAGCATCCACCATATCTATTGCAAATCATATTTAACAATTAAATGCGGAGCCAAATCTAGTGAGTAAAGCAACTTTAAATATTTTAAAAATCAGATTAATT